GAAACGAAATCGGGATGAAAAGCCCATGGCTGCAGGGAACAGGTTGAATTTTTTCCGCTCAGCAGCACGTAGGAGGCGAAATGAAACGATAAGCATTCCAGGCCAGGTCTAACGTGCATTACATTAAGGGGGTTATGATGTCGTTAGTCGTAAAGCTTAATTTTAGTTACTGACATTAGCTATGGAACTCTAGTGGCACATCCGTCGTTTTTTTCCCGAATGCACCTTCGGTTTTTTTGATAATAATAATAATAATAATGGTAAAACCAGTAACAATACTATGTTGGCCTTAATATTTATATGGTTTCCAGTGTCTGCTCTGAGGGCACTGGGACAGATTTTCTAAAAGATTCAGGAAAAACAATCGGATTTTGCTGGGAACAACACATAATGGAGGCGAATTCATCACAGTTGGTACGGAAGAACGACACAAACTGTTTTACATTTTGGGGCTATTCAAACACGAGTACACAAAATTTCATTTGCAAAGTGAGGGGTGTAAATGAAACTAGGAAACGTACACGGACTTACAGACTCTCCGAAGTTCCGCGGCCGTGGTTTGGTGTTCAGTAACAGATATATCCGCTACTTTACAGGAGCATGAATTTTAATAAATTTCACAGCATATTCTAAAAGTTAGATAAGATATTCGATATTCTACAAACATTCCAAGAGTGCTCTCCAAAGCTGCTTCGCCATGACATTACTTCTCAGTTTCTGTCTAGCGTGTAAGTGTATAAATCACGTTATTATTTCATGTGCAATTTTGTGGAAATGCGCGGAATTGTTGAGAACCAGTAAAGAACCGACCGAAAGAGGGTAATTTTTATAAAGGCTTTACCTTAAGTACTTTGACCCGCTTCATGGCATGCCATGCAGACTACCCTCAGTAAAGATGGAAGCTCTCAGAAGTCTCAGTTCATTAATTGACTTCGTGAAGTCGCATATCTCTAATGGGAAACAAAAGATTTTATTGAGGCCCTCACTTTCATATGGAACTCATAAAATTTCGCATTGATAAATGTGCTGGTGTGGCCTTGAAAAATTTCATAGAAACTTTTTTTAAAACCGATAGGTACGCTTTCATAGGTACTCATAACGCTAATGCGGATGACTGTCATTACATTTTACTGAAATCATCTACAACGGAATGCTCTCAAGTTTTGGTTCTACATTTTCACGGAAATATTCTGTTAAATATGTATATTACTGACAACATTTCAGTACCGTGTTTATTTAAAGTAAATATTGCATGTACCGTTTACAATAGGGTTTTCAAAGGCATTGCCTATTACTCTTAAAATATACTGACCTATAACATCTGAAGAAGACGTGATTTGCTACCAGATGAGTAAAAAGAGTATTTTATGCACGTTTTCTATAAAATATATCTGAATTAACGGGGGCACCGAAGGTCAAAGGGAAAAATCCAAGCCACTTGTGTCGTAATTTTTTGCGGAATGTAGTTTACTCAGGCGCCAGATAAGAAGCTCTTTCAGAAGCCGGCCTTGACTGAAACGCCTTGGCTTTATGCGACACGATAATTAGCATGACATCCCTCCGCGAGTAATCTTTTCGAAATGTTTTGAAGACGCATTCCAGAATTTCGGTCAAAATTTTAATGAGGTAGCACGTTAACTGTAAAACAGGCCGTCTACACGTGCCGCACACTCGCCTGATCCGCACATGGTGGAACGGGTTTTCAAGGGAACAAGGAGGGAACCACATCTGACTGAGAGTGCTATGGAGACCATGAAAAGGAAGTTACAGCTGCATCCTGACTCTCCTTCCTGATAGGGTCGAGTTAGCCCGCCAGCGGCAGCCCCCAAAGACACGACTTTTAGCGCATCGTTATAGTTTAAAAACGCGTCAGATTGAAATCTGTCTCTCATTTTGATGTCACAAATTTTCGAGGTGCTTTCAAAATACCTTCGCTGGTCAAATTTTTCGGTAAGAATATTTTTGGTCCCAATTGCGGATTTTCATAAAGCCGGTGGGGTTTTTTACGTTTTCCGAGGTGACTTCCTGCCGGAACACGACAGAGGCCTAAAACGCGACCTCATCTGGTAGATTGGAGAGCCCTAAACCCTAACTTTAAATCCTAACCCTAAACCTCAAATCAAAACCATAACCCTAACGCTAACTCCCAAATACCAACCCTAACACTAAACTTTAAGCCCCTCACCGTAACTCTAAACCCTTGCCCTACCCCTAACACTAAATAGAAACTCATCTACTTGAGTCGATATTAATACGAAATTCGTAGGCAATTGACTAGGAAGTGCCTCGATGGGACCGCGTTTTAGGTTTCTGCTCAAACCACTCTTTCTAAACGTGTTATGTGTCTTTTCTGAATGTCCTTCTCTCCACAATGATCATCTATTAGTGTTTCTTTCGATCTTAAAGAAGCCCTTTATAAAATACCATACAGAGGACTCTTAGTGGAAACGGAAGCTCTCGGAAGTCTTAGTTCAACAATTGACTTCATGAAGTCGCGTCTATCTAATGAGGAACAAAGAGATTTTATTGGGGTGCTCACTTTCAAATGAGAGCGGTGGTCTCCAAAGTACCATGTTAGGTCACCTTTTGTTTCTGCTCAACATTGGTGATATTTCATCTGCAGTCAATCCCGCTGTCTTTTATTCATCCTGATAACCTCAAATGCGTACATTCGTTATCCAAAACTGTGACCCAGCGTTTCGTGAAACAGATGGGTGAAGAATCATCTGCTATTTCTGCATGGAGCCCAATGTGGCCAACAGAAATATCGCTACATGTGCTATGTGTCTGAAAGACTACTCCAAGTAGTGACTTTCTTCAAGGCATCCCTATAACTGAACGCTCCACCAACAAGGTTTAAATTATCAAGATAATCCAGATCACCATCTCAATGCTGACAAAATTACAACTAAAGCTGCCCAAATTTGCTTTTTCATTCACAAGATTTTTGCCTCCCTGAGATAAAATTGTCGTCGTTTGTTTACTCTCCTCACTTTCGCTTGTTGTCTCTTTATTTAATGAACGAGTCTAGCGATTCTAGTGGAGGATATGCCAAAAGATGTTTTGCTTGAAAATATGTGCGTCAGACGCATCCAGACACTTTTCTGTATTAACAGAGGCCGGTTAGCTGATCATAGACTCCTCTGAGTTATGTGACTAGTACCTGGCCTCGGCTTCCTTTGCGGCATAAATGATACTCTAAATCTTTCTCGAATGTCAGTCCTTACCCTCTCCCCTCCTTTAAACGTGCGTACTACATTTTGCTTATTGATTCTCTCACTTCCTTCTTCTAAGTACTCACCCATCTTTGTTTCCAAATACTAGTCTCTTTGAAATATCCTACTAGTGAATATTAGGTCATTTACTAGCCTGTCTTTGGGAATTTAGATATGCGTCCATTACCATTATTGCTCTAATTACTAATCGACTTCTCACCCTTATACTCTTGCATCTACGGGGTCACCTCCGCCCACTTCATTCGCTCCGCCTTTGATCTCCTTCGTCAACGATTTTCCTCAACAGAGATCGTTTTTTGTAATCCAAGACCTTGGACCTTTATCCGAACCCAATATTACGCAGAAAGAACGGAGTATCTAGGCACACACCACGTTCCCCGCCCTTCCCCATCAGGATCTCGTTTTGGTCTTTGGGATTTCTTGGCTTCATTTCCTTTCCTGTTTTACCCCAAATCTCGCGCAGCGCAAGATAATTCTCATGCTTATTGTGACGCCTTAACTCACTTTCCGCCCTGTCCCGGTTGGAACCACACAAGACCTTTGGAGTTCACAACTTATAAGACATGTGATGACGACTGTGGTTATCTCATCTCTTGTGCTTATAACCTATGTAGTAATCTGTCAGCACCGACCAGCTGATTACTTTCCTGAGGCTCTGAGTTACCTTAAGTCGCCCGATCTGGAACAGACTCTTGGTATTGGATGATGGGGTGTGCGAGCGATCTTGAGGCCTGGCACACCCAGTCTGACAGCGCGCAGTCTACATCAACGCAACCTGGATGTCTGCTGCCTTTCTGGGGAAGTAAAGGTCCAGGAAGTCAATATCCACTTCGCGATCGCTGGAACAAGGGCTTTATTCGCCTGACGTTTCGGATTCCTGCTCGGACCCATCATCAGAGACAAAAACAGATAGGGGTTGTTCATACACAAGAGGATGCAGTCCCTGCCAGCGCCATCACCCCGTGCCACCTTGCAGCCCCGCCTCGAGAGGGGACAATGAAAGGGCTGGAGAAGAGATACGAAGGGGCTATGGCGGGGTATATTCCCGATGTTGTCTCCTCCCCGGAAAAAATGCGCAAGAGGGCGCCCGATCTTTGTCGTTTTTGCCCCCCCCCCCCTTTTCAGATACCGATTTTCCCAGCATCCCTTTTCTTATCAGACCATCTTTCGTTACTGCGATGCCCCGAACCCCCTAATTTTAGCGTTTTAGTACGGATCCCCCCTTTCCGATACCGATTTTTCCCACAATTCATGCTGTATCATACCTGCATGCCTTCCTGCGAAGCCCCGAACGCCTTATTTTTCTCGTTCTAGTCCATTCCGACTTTTCCAAAGCCAATTTTCCTCGCAGTCCTTGTCATGTCAGACTTTCATGCGTTACTGTGAAACCCCGAACGAACCAAATTGTCAGGACACGTGAAAGCCGTTAATGGTTGCAGACAATTTATATAAAAGAAAAAGATAAAAAGTAATGTGTACAATATTTCATGCTTCGTCACTGAACCTACTGAGCATAGGCGTCCGTATCGGTAGCGGGTTCCTACAAGAAAGGAAAGCAGGATGTACTAATAATTTGACGGTAAATAGACATACTACTGAAGTACTGCTTTTAGTAGTATATTTTAGTGTGCAAGGTTGCATGAAGTTGAGTAGTTTGAATATAAGCAGGTTTTAAAGATATAAGGCGTGCTAGCGGGGTCTTCGGACGGGGACATCGCTAGGTAAGGTGCGGCCGTAATGATGCAGACGAGAAGCTGGAAGTAAGTTAGAACGACTCAAGGCAATTAATTTACCTTCGTACTATTGTTTGAACGTTTTTCTCTGCCACCGTATCCGTCTCGCGCCCCGTGGAACCAGTCGATGGCACTCTTGCGAACTGTGTCTACAGTGCAACCTAAGACGGCGGCGTGATCATGAATCGCAGCTGAACGAGTAAACTTAAATATAAAGCTTACTGATAAGAAGGCCATAAACGGGACTACCGACAAAAACCCGCTTTTCTCTTGACCCACAGCAACAGAAGCTGAGGCATAGGGGGCGACCGTGAAGTGCAGACAGGAGATTCCTGACGAACTCTTTTTTGTTTTGGCCGTCAATGAAGGCCAGAAGTTTTTACCTATAATGCATCCAAATGAGATATGTGCATACCGCCTCCTAAGCGAAGCAAGCATTCGTTTGAAGCTGAATAACGAAATTATCCTAGGCCTCGCTGGTATACAGAGGCAAATTTGGTGATGGCTGCCCCACCTCAGTTGGACGCGGTGCATCCTGAATGGCCTTTAAAATTTCGGCCAAGGCCGCTTTGAACTGGGCCATATCTGTCTGAAGTTAAACAATTTCTTCTGCCACGCAGTCGACTTTCTACTTGTATATCATCAGGAGTCAGAACAGTCCTACCGGAAACATTCTACTGCCTCTTGTACCTATCTTAAACTTTTGTCAAAGGTAGTTATGGTAGTATACAGACGCAGGCTGAATTAGGTTTAGTTAAACCTTCTGACTTAGATTTAGTTAAGACATACTTACGTACAGAGGCGGAGAGATTTCGTCGACCAGTGACTTTTACTCTCATCTTCTCTAGTAACCTTGTGCACGTCGCGACACAGACAATACCGCAGGTATTTCGACTACTCTTGCTGCTGAGATCTTTAAACACACCATCACGCCTGGTTTAAACACGCCTCTACCGACTCCTCCAACAACCCCAAGTAAGCCTAAGCATGTGTGTAAGTCTAAGGCTAATCCAATTGCTGTCTCAGTCACTCGGAAACCCG